TATTATTGTATACCTTTTGATGGATTAAATACTTTTCTACTGTTTAAAAGACGGGCGAGTGCATCCTTTCTTTATACATATTGTATATAACTTCAGCGTGGGAGTGCACCAGGGCATCTAACCAAGTACTGTGTCACCAGCAAGGGTGAGTGCCATTATATATATATATATATATTGTATCCTATTTTAACAATGCAATGTTTTGCTGCATCCTGCTGAGAATGGACAACGTGTCAGCGATTGGCGTCTCCATCGACCAGTATTTCTCGAAGTGGCACGACGGAGGGGCCCATTCAGGGTGGATCTGTTCGCTTCCAGGACGAACTTCCAGATCTCGAATTACTTCAGCTGGCTCCCGGATCTAATGTGCGCGGCAGTGGATGCTTTTCTTCAGGACTGGCCGGCACAGGGAGCCTATGCATTTCCACCGTTCGCTATGATCTCCAGAATCCTTCTCCAAGTACGACGTCAATGGACATCGCTGGTGTTACTGACACCTCTTTGGCAGGGCCAGGCTTGGTTCCCAGAACTACTAGAGCTGTCATATCGAGACCCGCTCCTTCTCCTGTCTCCGCAATTTCTCCTGTCGGATTCTCGGGGCAACCATCATCCCCTCGTGCTCGAGGGTCATCATCACTTGGTGGCTTGGACTCTTTCCGGGGTACCTGGAATGTCGATGAGCTATCCGAACGGCTAGAAGCCTCCTCTGGGACTCCTGGGCCTCGGGAACGAGGAGATGTTATCTGTCCGCATGGAACATATGGTGTCGTTGGTGCATGGAATGGAGTATCGATCCCTTTACAGCACCTGTATCCAGTGTACTGAATTTCCTTTCCTACCTCTTCGACCAAGGATGGTCATATCGCTTGGTTAACGTTGCCAGATCGGCCATTTCAGCGGCTCATGTTTCTCTTCAGAGGACGCCCATTGGTCAAGATCCTTTGGTTTGTAGACTGTTGCGAGGAATCTGTGTGGTTTCTGCTCTGTCTCGTTATGTGGCTGTTACTACCCCACTTCGAAGTTCCCTATCAAGACAACTGTTGGTATCTTACGTACGACCGCATAAACCGGTGTCTACCATTACCCTGGCTCGTTGGATCAGATGGCTCTTGTTGGCCGGCGTGGACTCCTCTTTTGGCGCTCATTCGGTAAGGGGCGCGGCGGCATCAGGAGCCCTGGTAGCAGGTGCTTCCCTGGCCGATATCCTATGTTCAGCAGACTGGTCTCGAGAAGACACATTTCGACAGTTTTATTTCAGGCCTACAGAACATGCAGACTTTGCCCTACTGGCTGAGCATTGAAACTGCAAATATGAAGCCTCCTGTCATGTTATAAAATTGTAGATTATGCTAGCTTTAGTGTACCTATAATCTTAATTTTATTAATGACAGGAGGCGAATATTTCCCACCATTTGTTTTTCCCGACCCTTGTATGTTGTATTATCTGGCAGATTTAATATTAATAAAGAATTATATTTCTGATCAGTGTTCTTTGTGGTTATTTCCTTCGATACGTTTCCATTTTTCTGCCTGGGCCGGGATCTGTTCACTTGGTGGTGTTCACTATAATTTTGCTCTGGGTGGCTGCATGCTTTTATACGTACCTTTCATTGACTAATCACGATTTCCGATTCTGTTTATCTTGTTTCAGTGTAAAGGTCCCAGGATGGATTCACATCCAAGTTTCGACTCGGTTGAAGCTTCCTAGGAGAGTCGTTGTTTCTATCAATAGATGGACTTTTTATTGTTATGTTATGTTGTTTTTTCCTCGACTGTGTTTTGTTGTCGCAGCTTGAAAGAGGAAATGGAATGTTTGGAAGGGACTTATATGGTCTCCTTACTGTTTTCTGATTGGTTGTTTACTCTCTGGTGTTTTGCTGCTGTGGAGTTCTAGTAAAGAGAGACTTAAGCAAATATTCGCCTCCTGTCATTAATAAAATTAAGATTATAGGTACACTAAAGCTAGCATAATCTACAATTCAATAAAGTCTTCATTTAATTGGATACATTTTGTATAATTCAGCTGTGGTTTGCAGACTTACTCACCACACCAGGCTCATCTTTAAAGGACCACTATAGTGCCAGGAAAACATACTCGTTTTCCTGGCACTATAGTGCCCTGAGGGTGCCCCCACCCTCAGGGTCCCCCTCCCGCCTGGCTCTGGAAAGGGGAAAAGGGGTAAAACTTACCTTTTTCCAGCGCTGGGCGGGGAGCTCTCTGCCTCCGATCCTCCTCCGTTCCTCCCCGTCGGCTGAATGCGCACGCGCGGCAAGAGCTGCGCGCGCATTCAGCCGGTCGCATAGGAAAGCATTTGCAATGCTTTCCTATGGACGCTGGCGTGCTCTCACTGTGAAAATCACAGTGAGAAGCACGCAAGCGCCTCTAGTGGCTGTCAATGAGACAGCCACTAGAGGATTTGGGGGAAGGCTTAACCCATTCATAAACATAGCAGTTTCTCTGAAACTGCTATGTTTATAAAAGAATGAGTTAACCCTAGCTGGACCTGGCACCCAGACCACTTCATTAAGCTGAAGTGGTCTGGGTGCCTAGAGTGGTCCTTTAAGTAAGTTATTTATTTATTTATTTTTTAACTTGACAATTTATATTCAATTTATAAAAATAAAAAAAGAGATACATAGGGAGGGAAGAGGATACAAAAGACAAAAGGGAGTGGGGAAGGAAGGAATTGGGGGGGGGGGTCATCTAGAAATCATGTGTCACTTACAACACAATAACATAATTATCCATAGTATTACACAATACTTTGATGCTCAATACTCAGTATTCAGTATTTAGTATTCAATGTTGAACATACAACCTTCAACTTTCGATATTCAATATTAAATTTTCAACATCCAATCTCCAATATGGCCTTCATTCGCGTAAACAGCTATAAATCACAAATATCTATATCACTGAAGCATTTCCTTCTAAATGGAGCTTAAATTTAATGCTGACCTACTCTAGGATCCCAATATATTAAGACAGTGTGGTGACATCTTTATAGTACATTAGTGCTTCACCCTATGTGGAGTGTACCATTCTCCACTTGTCCCAAATATCCCATGCCTGTATCCCACTTAATGCTCAAATAGCCTCTGCTCGTCAATCTCAGAGTATATTTTCTGGATCGTGGGAATATTTGAGGAATATTTGAGGTCTTCTGTCAGTACCGTATGAAAAATTAGATTTTGGAGAAATCTGGGTATATATGGGGGAGTGTGCAGTAGTAAATACGTAAGGGAATCATAAGAGTTTAACTTTTGTAAGATCTTGTAACAATATGTGAATAGTTTCCCAAAAAGGTTGAATTAATGGGCAGTTCCACCAAATATGTTTAAATGATCCGATATTGTTTTGGCATCTCCAACAAATGGATGAGTTGGAGGGAAACATTCTATGTAACTGCTCTGGCACGAAGTACCATCTGTAAATAATTTTCATGTTTTGCTCAATAAGTGGAGCTGATTTAATAAGTTTCTTGATGTTTGTAGATATGTTGTACCACTGTTCCTGGGTAGACTCTGTGGCCAAATCCATTGCCCATTGCTTCCCTGGTGTCGCATCTGATTTAATAATAATTGGTAGCATGTGGAGATTGGTTTACATAATGCAGGTAGTTTTTTACGTATACACATTTTTTCCAGTATTGTGAGTTGTCCACTGGTTAAACAGCTAGTTGAGACCTGTATGTCTTGTTTATATAGAAAAGAATGTAGTTGTCTGTAAGAGAATTGGAAAGTCAGTGGGACATCGTGGAGCAATTGAAGAGTTCGAAAATCCTGTAATTTTGAGTTAGCATAGAAATGAATTAAATGTGTAAGACCCCTCTCCCGCCATGCTATAGCATAGAAGGTGGGAATACAGTATGAAAGAGCCTCCGTAGGAGTGGCGGGTGAGATTGGGTATTTGCTACTCAACTTGTGTCTATATATACAGTTGCAAGAAAAAGTATGTGAACCCTTTGGAATGATATGGATTTCTGCACAAATTGGTCATAAAATGTGATCTGATCATCATCTAAGTCGCAACAATAGACAATCACAATCTGCGTAAACTAATAACACACAAAGAATGAAATGTTGCCATGTTTTTATTGAACACACCATGTAAACATTCACAGTGCAGGTGGAAAAAGTATGTGAACCCCTAGACTAATGACATATCCAAGAGCTAATTGGAGTCTGATGTCAGCCAGGGGAACAAGTGATGTATCCCACTCGAGACACACACTAAGTCTCGCATACAGTCTGGACAGCAAGATACCAACCACCAACACAAAGTTTGTGCATGTAATATGTATGCCATACCTATGTCTTGTTATGTATGTAACCATTAAATATGTCACGCTATTGTGGCACCGCATGTTTATTGTACCAATTCTTTGAACGACAAAAATAAAAAATTGCCCCCTTTTTCGTCAAAATGACAAAATTGCAGGGCCCAATAGGACGCTTCTGAAAGAGAATGTGCGCGGTATGCGCGTTCGCAAGCTGAGTTGACTGACATCTTAGCTCACTGTCTATGCCAGCCCCCTCCTACGGCAACCCTCCTAACCCAAAGTTAGCATACAAACACTATATATAGAAAAATCTCTATATATAGTGTTTGTATACAAACACACACTGTAAATAAATATTGTTGAACACACACTATCTATTTATCTCTATCTATTTCTATCTATCTCTACCTATCTATCTCTCTATTTCTAGCTATCTTTCTATTTCTACCTATTCTATCTCCCACTTACTCACACTCAGTCACTCACCCACGCTCCCTCACCCACACACACTCAGTCACCCACACTCAGTCACCCACTCTCAGACACTCAGTCACTCACTCACTCACTTACCCACACACATAAAATAAGTTTACTTACAGTTGCAACCCTCCCCATCTGCTTGGTCTCCGGTCTTCAGCCTTCTGCCTTCAGCCTGTCAGCTCGAGCCGACGCTGTGTGCAGGAGATTTTATCTCCCACACCAGGGATAGGCAACCTTCGGCACTCCAGATGTTTTGGACTACATCCCCCATAATGCTCTGGCAAAGCATCATGGGAGGTGTAGTTCAAAACATCAGGAGTGCCAAAGGTTGCCTATGCCTGTACCACACTGTCAGCTCTTCATCGCTGACAGGCTCAGGGTTACTACAGGACATAGGAGGCGCGTTCACAGCGCCTCCTATCTCCTGTATGCTGATAGCATGTTTGATGTCTTCACCCAAGCGTGAAGACGTCAAACGTGAAAATGAATGCGAATTATGCATTCATCAACTTGGAAGTGCCTCTGGTGGCAGTCTGAGTGACTACAACTGGAGGTGTTCCTAGCTTCCAATGAAAACACTGTATTTTCTCAGAAAATAGTGTTTACATACGAAAGGCTGCAGGGAGCTATATTTCTCACCTGAACAACCTCATTAACCCCTTCAGGACGGGGTCAATAGTACACGTTCTGATCAAAACAAAATGTAAACAAAAACTGGAATTTGCGCTATATGTCTGTTCAACCGTAATTCACCGCTGTCACACACGGCCGTCTTTAACACGGGGCAAATGGGGCAGTTGCCCCGGGCCCAGTTACTCCTGGGGGGCCCAAAGCAGCTGCCCCATGGCCCCGCCTCCCACATGAAAAAAAATGATTTCCCTAGTGGGCCCACAGTGTAAGGGTGTCCGGTCTGCGCTGTGGCCCTTTAACAGCGCGACCGGGCCCCTTGCTTAATGGCTGCATGGATGGAAGTGACGTCCGTGAATCACTTCCTCCCACCTCAAAGACATCGGGCCGCGCGGGAGGCTGAGCCAGGATCCTGTGAGGAGGGGGAGCAAGGAGAGCCAGACCCCCAACTCCCACCCGCCTCAGCCAGCACACGGGACCCCAGGGAAGGAAGCCTCTTGCAAAGGTAGGAAACTGAAGACTGTAGGTGTGTGTGTCAGTATGTCTGTCTGTCTCTGTGTGTGTCAGTATGTCTGTGTGTGTGTGTCAGTATGTCTGTGTGTGTCAGTATGTTTGTGTGTCAGTATGTCTGTGTGTGTCAGTATGTCTGTCAGTATGTCTGTGTGTATGCCTGTGTCAGTATGTCTGTCACAGTGTGTCTGTGTGTGTGTCTGTATGTTGTCAATATGTATGTATCTGTGTATATGCCAGTGTGTATACCTGTGCGTGTGTCTGTATGTAGCCAATGTGTGTATCTGCATGTGTGTCAGTGTTTGTATCTGCATTTGTCAGGTTATGTATCTGTGTGTCTGTTGTCATTGTGTGTGTCTGTGTATCTGTATATTGTCAGTGTATCTGCATGTGTGTGCATCTGTGTGTCTGCATGTGTGTCAGGTTGTGTGTCTGTGTGTGTCAGTGTGTGTAAATGTGTCTGTATGGCTGCATCTGTACGATTGATAATATCTGTGTATCTGCAAGTGTTTCTCTGTGTGTGTGTGTGTGTATGTGTATCACAGTGTGTGTGTGTTTGTGGCAGTGCAGGTGTATATTGTGTATTTTATATATATTAAAGTATATTTGGTTACTTTTTAATCTGTGCCACTTATCCTTTTTATACACTCTAATTTATTTACTACCTGGCATTTTCTCAACATCTCGGACTCCAAGAAATCCTAGGTGGGGATCATACCACCAGCGCTACGTCAAGGAGCAGTTGTTCTGCTCCCGCCTTGTGAGTACCCAGTTTATTTTCATTTATTTTATTACCAACATTGTATCCAGTGTACACTATTGGCTGTTTCTTTCTACCCGAGTGTCTGATACACCACTGACGGAGGAAGTCCACCCTATATCCCATAAGCGGGGATCAAATCGCTGTACGCCTTCTATACTAGAGCAAGTTTAGCTCTTTCAAATGTGAGTTTTATTTTTCCCTTCTTATTCATTTTTTAGTGTTTTAACATTTTACACTATTGGCTCTCCACCATTTTATCTTCCATATACGAGTGGATTCTCACGGATGAACATATAAAGGACAATTGCTCCGGATCAAGCACGGAAAGATCCCATAACCCCAAAGAACATACTCTAGATAAGACTTTTCTTATTTTACTACAGCTATTTATTTGGACTATTTGCAATTTTCATTTGTGTATTGGCGCAGCCCTTATCTCTTATTCTCTCTCTCTCTGTATATGTGCATACATCTTAGCATTCAACGCCAACACTACACACAAATACACACCTGCATTCAAACTTCAACACTACATATAAACACACCTCTTTTTTTAAACAAAATTATATATAAACGCACCAGTGCATTCATAAACCAACACTACACATAAATGCATGCTTGCATTCAAATGCCATCTCCACATACAAACACACCCCGACATTCACACAAACATACTCCATACAAAAACATGCTTACACTCAAACACACAAATACTGCTTAGTGCTAAATACAATCCTGCATGCATGGGAAAATGGTAGAGCCCCAGCTGTCAAAGCATTGTTGGAGTTACACGACAGATGGGGATCTACCTTTTGCCCCCTCTTACGGAAAATAATTAATGCACCAGAGCCCTTGCTACTTTACGTCCGCCTCTGCGTTGGGGTAGGGGCCTGATTGCATGCCAGGGAGGGGACGACAGGGTCCAGGGGGCCCAAACCAATGTTTGCCCAGGGTCCAAATAGTATTAAAGACGGCCATGCTGTCACATTAAGTACAACCACACTTATTATATATCATTTTGTTCGGGAGAAACAGGGCTTTAATTTATCATTA